CCACTCATTTTAGCCAGCCTGTCATTACAGGCCTTGTAAATAGCTTTGGAAATTAAGAGAAAGCAAACTTTAATTTGAGAAGGGTGTTCAAACACATTTTTATAGCTTAGAAGCAAACCAATACAGATAATCTGACTTGGAGCTGCTCGGAATGTTTAACTCCTTCCTGGTGTTGGCAAGGATGAGGATGGAGGATTGGGTTTCAAAATAGGAGATGAACTCCAGTTCATCAGAGTGCTACCATGTCAAGACAGCGGCCGGACTGAAGAACAGTAAAGAAGACTTGCTAAAGCCCCAGGTATGATTGCTCTTGTTTTCAGCCTGAACCTCATCACGAGGTAATCATGGGAAGTATATTTAATTTCTAAGAATCATCTCACCTGTTCGAGAGAAACACACCATGCACGTCAGCCCCCCTCACTGATGAGGAGACAGTTGAGTGAGAGCCTCTCCAAAGGAATGCAGACTTCCTTTCTGCACCCTTGTGAGCGGCCAAAGTGAAAGGAAAATAAGCCTGAGTTAACAGTCAAGGCAATCCCTAGCTGTTTCATCAAATGCAGAGGCACTTCCATGCCGCAGTGGTCCACTGGTGTGCCCATCTCAGAGCTAAGGGCTTACGAGGTTCCTGTTGGTCTGAAAATCCCACAGACCTGGTTTCAAGTCCCATCTTCTCTACTATGATGACCTTGGGTTTGTCTCTAAACCTTATATCACAGTTTTCCACAGGGATAGTGGGCAGAATCCCTCCTGAATCAGCACTGTGAGCTGAGTGGACTGAGGAACTGCTCTAATTTAGTCATCTACACATGGAAACTGCTCAGATCTCCTGGGGGTTGGGGGACAGGCTGCAGAGTACTCCAAACACTCCATTTGTTAATTGTGGCTAATCATATCCTAATAAAAATGAGAGCCCTGTGTGAATGGGCTCTGGAGCTATTTACCGCCTCATCATCATCTTCACTAAGAAGAATTTCATTATGTGGATTCTCTTCTCAACAGGGGTCCTAAATGTCATCAATATAGTGTCTACCTTGCAGGAAGCACAGGCTGCTTTCAAAAGAGTCACACTTAGGGGTGAGGGAGACCAGCTAAACCAGGTTGTTCTGATACATCCCCTGACACCACAGTTTGTGTGACAGCACCAAAGTCGATTTTGTTCCAAATCATTTGTCCCATTGACTCATGCTACAGGAGTGAATTCCTCAAGGGAGAGTAATTACCGTATCAGAAGCTGGTGAAGTTATCCTTGGGGTGTACTTTTTTCTCCTGAGAATAGCTCCTTTCACATTATGTTCTCTACTAGGAATCTATTATATGATCTCGTTTTTTCTCCAAAGACATCATTAATCATATGGTGAAAGTGTAACTACAATTGAAAGTACAAGATGCTTTGTTAAGAGCCACATTAGATGCTTGGTGATCATCAAACTCAAACATATTGAAGAATCAGTGCTTGGCATCTTCTTCTTAAAAAATTTGCTGTTCATTCCCTGATCACCTTTCTTCTAAAGATGAAGTCCTCTTTTCTCTGTCTTCTTTCTTTAAAATAATTATGCAGGAGTTTATAATGTTATTCTGGTCACAATGCCCAGCTTTGCTACAGTATTCTGGGTCAAGTTTGTGTTGTAGCACTGTGTTCTGGGAGAAATTGAGCGAGAAAAAGGCTTTCCTGGAATCTACTGGAGTGGTCCAGTGTCTGCAATGGAAAGAAGCCTGTACTGGGAATCAGAACAGCTGGATCCCAGCTCTGGCTCTGACCTTGAGCAAATCTCTTCTGTTCCAGCCTCCTGTTCCCCTCACCATCCTATGAAGCAGTTGGACTGGGTGCCCCCAAAAGCCCTTCACCTCTTACATTCAGTGATGCCTCCTCCCAAGCAATGCCATGACATCCAACCCCCGAGTGATTGTCACGAGTAGTTCAACACTTCAAGTTGAATTTTAAATAGTTGAAAACAATCAACTTGATACAGACTGCAGAACTAATAATGTGAAATCAAAGAGAAGTAGCTCCTGCCTGAAGGTCACATTTGGTGTCACACAGAGATGATGTCAAACACAAAATTGCCACAGTAAGGAGGAGAAATGCAGACAGTGGCTGGGATGTGACTTCTCAGCCTAACCTAATCATTGCTGGGGACTGAGATCATCACCAGCATTGCAGGGACAAAAACCTGAAAGGGAAGAACCCACATGGAGGGGCAGAGGAGACAGACGTCAAGGACAGGAAGGAGCAGAAGCAGACAGAGGGGTGAACCTCGTGGGAGAGGTACAGTGGACTGCTCGTGTACCAGGCCCTGGAGTGCCTCCTGGGCAGCCCTGATGCCTGAGTCCAGGTTTAATGTATTTTATTGTGCATCCCAGGGAGTGACTCTGAGTCGGGGAAATACAGTTTCCAAGTTCAGAGTCAGTGGACGCAGCTCTCAGGAGTGTGCCGGTGAGGAGACAGCAATGAGAAGGACTTCTGCCATGAGCTCCCTTCAGTGGGGAAAGCTCCAGGTTTTCCTGGCTGTGGCCTCCAGCCTAATGGGACAATCACACCACCTATAGCGGGGCACCCTGTGGGCCCCTGAGCCTCCAGAAGAGCCCTGCTTCCCTGCTGGCTACATGGATGCTGGCACCCCAGAAGACTCCGTGCTAGGCAAGGCATGGCCACCATGTTGGACTGTGTGGAGTTAGAAATTTCCACCCTGGTCCTGGGCCTGGCCCTCACTAGCTCAAGAGCACGGGAAGGTCACCTAACCACTGTTAACCTCAGCTTCCCCTCTATTCAGTGAGAAGATGGACAAGTGTTTTCCTCTCTAAGTTTATGGTGGACTGATAAACCATCTGGATTCTGAATTGCAGGAACCAGAAACAAAGGAAGGGATGAAGTACCCAGGGGAGGAAGGAAAGGGGGAGTGGGGACAGACACAGGTGCTGAATGCCAGGTGGAGGAGGAAGCCAGGTGGAGGAGGAAGCCAGGTGGCAGGATCACACCTCACCAGCTGAGAAATCCGCAACTCAGATGCACCAGATCAATCATGTCTGTCCTCCCTATCTCTGACTCATGGGCAGTCCCTCAGGGCCCATTTCCGACTCCTCCCTGCCTGAGTCTACACAGGTTACTGCAGGGCAAGTGTCTGTCTAGAGGCTGGCTGGGCTGAGCTTCCCAGGGGGCCACCGAGAATGGACAGTTGTGGTTCCTCCCTCACCAAGAGGCCATCACCTGCTGGCTAACTTTGACGAGCAGTGTGGCCCATTTTCACACTTAGAGAATAGAGGGTTGACCAGCCCCACTCCTGGCTAGGGATGGTATTATTACCTTGCCAATGCTGGCCAAGTGACTGCACGTGCCAGGCTCTCTATGTTGTATTTCAAACAAAGATGCTGCCTCAGTTTTCAAATGTCTTCATTCTGCAACCCATCTTCTTGGTACAGGATACCCATCCCCGCATCTCCAACTACTGTGACTACATTTCTAAGGCCACACATTACAGATGAACAGAAATCACCCTATGTTGCTCTCAGGTTTGCCACAGTTTGTCTCTACAGACAATGAGGCCAAAGCATGGCAAGGCCCTCCTGGGTTCCTGGTGCATTTTTCTGTAAAATCTCTCTTCAAGTTGAGAAGGAAAAAACTATAACCCTGTGTTGAAATTTCAGCAGGCCAAGAATGGGTCCAAACTTGAGCCTGCCACAGAATTTCTTTCTTAACAAAACAGGCTGGCATACTCTGAAAATGTAAGTATCAGATAACAGTGCTATACAGTCCGCCATCAAGAAGGTGCAGGATCTATTCCTGGTGGTGCAAATACAGACAGAATCATCCAACAACCACTGAGCTCAGAGGTCCTAAGGACCAGTCTATCGAGCTTCTAAGATCGTGATTACAACAAATTCCACACTGCCCGCACCAACTGTCTCAAAGGCTTATCTTCCACAGGGTAGAAACACAGAATGAAGATGATAGGGAAAAGAAGAAATAAAAATAAAAAATAAAGTGAGTGAATCTTCATTGGTCTTCTTCAAAAGGAAAGAAGGGTTGCATATAGATTTTAGCTGAGAGTTCTCAAAAAATTATAATATTCCAGTGGTACCTGAGTTAATTTCATTGTCCCAAATTCCTTGCAGATTTCAAGTTGCTTTCAATGATTCAGTAGAAATGAAGGACTGTCGTTTCTTGGTAATGTCTGAAATGCCCCCTCCCTGTTAGCTCCCCCCACCCACTTGAAAGACAGACCCACTTAAGAATGGGGGATGGAGCCTAGAGCAGAGGGACATGAAGAATAAGCTCCACAAGAAGAAAATGATCAGGCTGGACAAAGAAACACCAACCCTGGGGACATGAGCTCTGCACACTTTGAAAACCTAGAGCTAGGAAAGGTTGCTGAGAAAACGCAAAATATCAGTCATCAGTTTCCTTCAACATGCAAGAATCCGGTTGCAAACTCCTGCACTGTGTGGCTCTCCTGAGTTCCATCCTTTCTGTTTCTTCTATTTTTATTTATATGGCTCATTTAACAATAGTTTATTTTTCTTTACATCCCACGAACATCACCCACCAAAGAGTCCTTTCAAGAACCTTAAATGAAAATGATTGATTTCCAGAAAGATCACTCTGGGTCACTAGCTACTTTTTAACACTTCAAACTTGGGAGGTGGTGCCTGTCTTCCATTATTCTCTGAATGGTTGAAAAATAGCTCCATCTGGAAAGAGTACCATAAACAGCACCCACAAAAGAGGACCCTCCGAACAAACGACAGAAGCAAGCACAGTGACACCGGCCACTCTTTGTGATGTTCTTTGTAATGAGAACACAGAATTTTAGAGCCACCATAAACTTTGAGTCACCTGTTCATTTTACAGGTGAGGAAAAAGTCAGGCACAGCTCAATTAAATTACCTGGCCATGGCAGGGACTGTGCTGGGAAGAGAATCTCAGCCTCCCGACTTCCAAACCCAGATTTCCCCAAACAACTTGTTGGCTCCTCCTGGCTTACTGAACAAAGCGGAGTCCCTACCTTTCTTCCTCCACCAGGGTCCTTCGGGAACAGAGTAGGAAAGGTCCTTGAATTCGATGTTCACGGCTGCCCTTCGAGGCAGGGAGGAAAAGCGCTGGGCCTCGGTGAGGCCGTTTTCCACCTTTTTCAGGTGTCCATTCAGCAGGTCTGTCTCTGTGGCGTCTGTGGTGCCGGAGACCACCTCGTCCACCGAGACGCACACCGACTTGGGCTCCATCATCGCTGCTGAGTAACTGCTGGTGTTCTAGAAGAACGGGAGGAAGCAATAGCCCATGTGATAAGCTGCATCAAGAGGACAGGCATCATGAGCTTCGGCGTCAGGCTCAGGTCATTGATGATGACAGCAATGCTGCTTCAACTGCAGGGACACGTTTGGCACTACAGGAAAGGGGCTCACCTGCAGGAATCTGTCATCTCTCACCATCGCTTTTTCTTCTATTCAAAAATGTTTAAGATAAAATGTTAAACTGATCTACATGTCCTACTTTGGACATAAAACTTAGTCACAAAACTAAAATCAGTGAATCACTTGCCTTCAAGAAGAAAACACCTGCCACCATAAAAAATTATCTATTTACAGACCACTCATAAAAAATAAAACCTCAGAAAGGACACATGAGGCTCCTAAGAAATGTATTACTGAAAACATTTTACTTAAAATCAGCTATTTTAGTGCCTTCCTAGTATAATCTCGTAACATTTTCCAAGAGCAATAACACCACTTAAGCTGCTGCGTTTTGGATGGGTTTGCATTTGCATTTTACTTTTAAAGTTTCCAAAGAACATACAATTCTACTCTCTCACTGTATCTTCATAATAGCACCGAAAAGTTGGAAGGGTTAAAATTTTTCTCTATTATACAGATGAGGAAACTGAGCCACAGACAATTTGGGGAGCCGGCTCCAAGCCCCACAGTTGAGTGAGGAGCAGAAGTGCTCCCAGATTTGAGTCATCAGAAAAGCAGCCAGGCGTCCTTTCCCTGCAGCACAAGAGACCCTGATGTTCTGCAGCTGCACTGGCTTTTAAAGCTCCCACTGGGAGTCAGATAAATGTAATAGATGTGCCAAGAACCCAAAGTATTTATGCAAAGAAAGGAATATCCTTTTCTAAGGGCTTGGCAACCCTGTGCCAATCAATAAGCTTCAGGTACCTCCAAAACACAGAAGAACCCTGGTGTGAACAGATATCGTGCTGTGCTTTTTCTAGCTGTTTCCTGAATCTATAGGGACCGTCCCACAGTGCCAAAAGCATGGGCGATGCCCCGCTGTACTGTTGACAGTAGACTGCCCCGATGGGACAGCCCATCGCCCACTGTCTGGGGTAGTTTGGGCCCTTGCAACTGCCGTGGGATGGGGAGACACCGCCGTGCTGTTACCGTTCTAAAGCAGAAACATGTCGTGTTGTCCTTTCTCCATGGGTCTGTTAACTCTTTCTCTAGAGTTGCTTGCTACTTATTATTATTATTTCTTATCAAAAAAACAGAACAAAACCAGAGAGTGGATTGTCCATAAAAATTTCCACAAACCGCAGCATCTCAAGTGGTCAACCCCAAGCATTCCCCTCTCCCCCCAGAACTTCACCCAGTATTAAGCATGGTGGTTTTGAATATTTAAAACACAAATAGGATGAAGAGAGGGTGGGCACAGGGATTCTGGTTCTCTTGCTGATTCAAAATGTAGCTTTGCTGTTTAAGAAAAAGACCTAAAACACACACACACACACACACACACACCCCACACCTCACACACACATACCACACACACACCACACAAAGCACACACACAGCTCACACACACTATACCACACACCACACCACACGACACAACACACATACACACCACCCCATATGCTCATATACTACACATACACACACACTGCAACACACACACACACACATCACCCCCCCCACACACACATACACAGACACTCCCCTCCCAGCCATCTCCCACCTCCGAAAGCCTTAGGCAGATCAGAACTTAGCTCACTGACCGTCACATCGTGTGGACAGAAATCAAGCTGCAGAGTAAAACTCTGACAAAAGCGAGCTTGGTTTGCTGCTGCACCAAGCACGTGAAATGTTTCAAATGCCAACTTCAGTAGGTTTGCACATTCCAAAACAGTTAGGGAAGGTTTGTTTGTTTGACAGGAGACTCCTTGGAGCCCCAGAGCAATCAGGAAACAGGGGGACCCCAGGCGCAGCCACAGCAGGCAGCATCTGCATTCCGCCTGGTCCGCACAGTCTGGGCCAGGCTGGGCCTGTTGAGGGATAACATCCTCTTGGCAAGAACGTGCGGTTCAGCCCCAGCACCAGGGCAGGCACCGGAGCCCCACCTTGCCTGCTTACCCTGCCCCTTGGGGCCACATGCTGCTGTGACAGGTTATAACCCACACTGACTCCAAGGAGCCCTGGAAACACAGAATGCTGGCTCTGCAGTGTCAAGGGAGCAGTGGGGCAAGACAACCTGCTCTGGGCCTGGTCCCCAAAGTCCACCTCACCTCCATGTGGCCACACACATGGTAATGTGCTGGTGGCCGACATGGGCTCTGACCCCAGGGTCCCCAAGGCTAAGTATTCAGTTGGGGGTGAAGGGTGGGGAATGATCTGGCAACTCCTCTCCAGTGTGGGCCTCCTGGACCTCCACCCCTAGGACTCCAGCTCCCCAGGCACCCACCACTGGTATCCACCCCCTGAGGGGCACAGGGAGCAGTACTTCTTTCCTTGTTGGTGAAACCCACACTAACAGCGATGAACCCTCATTACTCCAGCCATCGATTGACTGTGGCAGATCTCAGACCTCAGAGCCATGTCATGATGAGGGTCTGCCTTCCCCACTTAACTCTAAGCCCACCTAGTCACTCACTCACTTGACCAACTAAACACCAGATAAAGCCCTGGGGTCAGCAGTCAGCCAGACAGACATGACCTCTGTTCTCAGCAAGCCCAGGTTCAAGATCAGCCCCCAGGCAATAAAATGGCGAGGCAGAGGCATGCAGAGACTCAGAGATTGCAGAAACATCTAATGCAATGCAGACCCTGAGGCAGGGGCACTCAGGACAGTCTTTCTGTGGAAATAAAATCTTAGCTGAGATTAGCAAGGAGCCATGGGGGCGGTGGGGGGGGGGTGATGCTGGTGTATGGTGTTCCCTGTGAAGGAACAGCGTGTGCAAAGCCTCAGCAGCAAGAGATAGGGGAACATTCTGAGACCTGCAAGAAATTTAGGGGCTGGAGCATGGACCTGGGCTAGTGGAGGGCAGGAGGGCAAGGGGCTCTGGAAGAGACAAACAGGATCCAGCAAATGCTGTTGAGGGTTCTGCACTTTATCTAGAGGTCTCTGGAGAGCCGTGTAGGAACCTAAAGCTGGAGTAACAGGACCAGAACTGCAGAATTGCAGACTGTCTCCTGCAGTGTGGGACAGGTGGGGTGAGGGTGGCCTTAATCAGTTGGTGGTAGAGGGGATGGAAGTAGGTGACAGGCACATAGGACAAAGCTGTGTGACTACACTGATTTAGGAGTGAGAGAGAAATAAACCAGAGTCAAGGACTTACAATTTAAAGTATTAAATAATAATGCCTCATGCACGCTTGGAAGTGATTACAAACTACAGTGACTATTGATTCAGTAATCGCACTGCACTCATTAAACTCCAGCCTGCATAGATTATGCCTGTTATTATCTCCACAGCTCTAACGGTGGGAGGGGCACCATCTCCATTTCGGGGGAGGGATCAAAAGCACAGAGAGATTGACCGACCTGCCCAAGACCCCACGGTTAGGCAGTGGCCAGATCAGGGTCCAGCTCTGTGGGGCTTCCACATCTGAGCTCAGTTCTCCCACCAGTGCTCTTCACACACTGGAAGGTTGTTTGGCTTTCTACGGGCAGGTTGGGAGTGCTTCTGGGTCCTCCCAGCCCTTGTCTATTATAGGAAAATCTACAACCAACCGAGGAAATCATGCAACCCCACCCCCAAATGAACCAACATCAAAGCAGAGCGTATGATTACCACCCTTTCTCCATGGGGCTCCAACGCCTCACCCAATTAATAAAATCATGGAAACCGTATGATGCGAGGCAGTAGCCTGTCACTTCAAAATAGACAGACCAGTTCTCTAGAAACACATCCTCAGATGAGAGCTGCGACAATGTAGGTTACAGCTAGCTTTCCCTTAGCCTCCTGAGCTCATTAGAAATAAAACAAATACATCTTCCCTCCCCATTTTTTCCTTTCACTGTTCAGTTTCCCTGTCTTACTGAAGCATTGTCTTTGACCTCCCCACTTCACACACCATTTGTGCCGCATAATACATTGTAAATGATAGTAAGTTCATTCATGGATGCTGAATGCTGAGGAGACCCTATTTGGATCATTCCTGGCTGCCGTTCATGAGAATATTTTCCTGGGTGCTGAGCAGAGCAGCCGTGATTTCAGTTTGGATGCTGGGTGGACAGAGATGCCTGTTTAGCTGGGGAAGGTCTCCGACAGTCAGTAAGCCATCCCCAGGCCACTACAAGACTGGTTCACTCCATGTACAGCAGGGACACAGTCAGCGATAGACTTTTCCTCCCAGCGTTATGGGGAAGGGAGGAAGAGAGGAGCCACCGGCACTCGGCATGTGACAGGCAGCTCTCTCATCTCTTTTTGGTCCATTGCTGCCAGCCTTGGTGCCCACCTGGACAGTGGCCTCCCTGGTATCCTGGGCATATCAGAGGAGAATGTATTGACCCATAATCCTCAAGGCAACTGCCCACAGGAAAATAACCAAAATCCGTAACTAGATCACCACTCCCTTAACTAAGTGAGAAGGGCAGATGGCACTTGAGTGGTCCCTCAGAATGCCCAAAGAGCTCCACACACCCCCAGCCCACTGGAAACATATGACTGCCCCTGCCTGTGCCCGCCGAGCTCAGGGACCCCAGTGCCACCCCATGGGTGTTTTGCTCTTCCTCCAAGGAAACTTCTCCAACCTCACAGTTCACGTGGCCAGGCTGGGCTGGACCCAGAGCAGGGAGGTGGTGGGAAAGCAGAGCTCAGGACCCTGGGTATCTCTCAAGGGCTTTTTGTTTATGACTTAGAGTTCTGTTTTGTTTTATTTGAAATTTTTGTTTGTTTCTTTTAAACGTATAGCTCCAGTATTTCCAGGTCATCCAAGTACAAACCAGGCCTGACCCTGCTTAGCTTCCAAGATCAGACAAGATAGGGCTCATTACAGTGGTATGGCCATAGACAGAATTTTTAAAATAAAAAGAGCACAGGGTTTTCAGCAAGGAAAATGATTTTCAAACAAAACGATGTTACCTAAAAAAAATGAGCCCAGCCATTAGCGTCTTCATGTGAAAACAAAACACTTGACCTCTTGGGCTGTATCAAACCATAACGTAACATAAAAAAAAAAAAAAAAACTTTGGCATGAAAACATCTCTATCTTAAAACATTCTGATTCATTATTTTTCCACATGTACAAGCTCTAAAAGGACTTCAAGAGTTACCCAGCATCTAAAAGATCTGAAACTTTCTCTACATGCAACTAACATCAATAATCTTAATTTTCCATTGTCAACATAATTTAGGAATTCCAAGTAGACGAACTAGTGCAAAAGAATTTTCAAGTGTCACCCAAACATTTAACCAGATAAAAGCAAATGTCACTAGGAGGCAAGTGGCTTTTCTGTTTTTGTTTCTTGTTTTTTCTTTTCCCCGTGACTTCTTATATGTGAGAAGGGGATAGTGATGGCACCCAGAGACGGAACTGGGCTGTGAGTCTCCCAGCACTGGCTGCGGCCCCATTCTATCGGTTTGCACAAAATCATTATATAATGAGCTGGCGAGGCTCGGTATGTGCTACAGTAACCTGTTTGGAATCACAGGATGCAGTTGTCAGAGCAGAGCATGCGCAGAAACCGGGCTACATTTTTTTTTTTTTTTTTTTTTTTTTTTTTTTTTTTTTTCTTGAGCTACAGGCAAGAGGTAACTGTCGGTCAAATCCTGCTGAGCCCTGCTGACTTCAAATACAGGATGCTAAAAATGAAATAAAGGGGAGGGGCGGGTGAAAACCCTGTGCAAGCTGTACACCGTGGGCTCCCAGCCTATGGGAAGTAATAGCAAGACAGCAACCACACAGACAGACGATAGCAGGAGGATGACACGGGCTGGAATACGGAATACTTTCTATTTGCACTTTAGATGGCCTGAAATCCGGTCCTAAGTACCTAACTGCAATGTTGGTGTGCCAGGCATAGAAACGAAAGGCTCTGCGGGGGAAGTGGCAGGGCTGGTGGTCAGTTTGTTGTTGTTTGTTTCCTGATGTGAGTAAAAAAGCAAGGGGGGATTCTCGACCACCCCCGGGAATAGCACTTGCGGTGACTGTGTCTAGCGATGGATTCGCGGCACCCGCGCATCCCGCTCCGGAGCTGGTACCCTCTGGAGAAGTGAGATGCGCGCGTCGGTCCCACCCGGGTCAGGGCGGCCGGCAGGTACCCAGCCACGCGCCTCGTCTGTCTCCCCGGGGGACTCCGCCGCCCCCTTCTGAGTAGGCTGGGGAGAGACTGTCCCCGGGGAGCACAGGGCGGCGCAGGCTCTCGGGGAGTAGCTCCCTCTTTTGTTCCGCCAGACAGCGCCCGGTGCTCGGGGAGGGGGGGTGGGGAAGGGGTCTCCATAAGTCCCTGCTCCCCAAACCCTGGCCGCGCGCGCCCGCAGAGGGATGCACCCTGCCTTCCCTCAGGCCCAAGCTGCGGCCCTTCTCCAGAGCTCCCCGGGGTCCCAGAACCCCAATCCCCTCACCCGGAGGTGGACGAGGTCAAGGCCATCTGTCTATCTGTGAGGCTGCTCGCTGCCTCCCTCTCCATCCCGGCCCCTCCGCCTTCCCCGCGTCCTCGGCCGGTGCAAGGAGCATCCCGAGGCTCCAGGTGGCCAGGGCAGGGGGCGATGGGAGCCGCCCGGGCACCTCTCCGGGGGCGCTCTGGGTCAGCGCCCAGAGGACGCGCCCCCCGCGAACGGTGTCAGGGCGAGCGTGCGGGTCTTTGTGTGTTTCCTGCTCGTCTTGAAGATGAAACCAAAACCCGCGGGCTAAGGATGCGCTCACTCACCATGGCGGTGCCGACCGAGAAAGCGGCCATCAGACAGGCCATGCCCCGGGGGGCGGCGGCGGCGGGGACAGGGCTGCGGGGACCGGGCTGCGTTCGCTCCTGGCTCTGCCACTGCGCTCCGCGCCGGCTC